AAATTTCTGCCCCTATTTAGTGATCATAGGTCTATTTGAAAATATTCTTCCTAGATGAAAAGGGGCTTGGAGTATGTAATCTGAAGAATATATAATCTTAGATGTGCAGTCAACTGACTTTCCAGTATCTTTTGTCATGTGTGTGCTTCTGTGTGTACACATCTTTGGTTCTTTGCAAGGTAGGAAGACTGAGCAAATTTATAAATGAAATTAAATATAGCTATGCATGAACGATTTCAGAGTGAGCTTAAATAACACACTACCATTTGAGCCCCCAAGTCTATATCCACCAGTAATGTTCAGCAAAAACTATTAAATGTTTAGATCTTTATTTAGAGGTACTTCAGCTCTAGTGTTTGTTATACCTGTAAGTTCAACTTCCTACCCTGAGCAGTTATGCCATAAAGGATTGTAGTTCCAGAGGTTTGTTCCTGGCAGTGGAGGATGCTGTCTGCCTGGGTGCAGTTGTGGAAACTACTAATTGCTTCTAACATGAACCATCTGGGAAAATACAAGAATACATAAAAAGCAAAATCACTCTCCAGAATTCTATGGTTCTCTCCCTAATTTTCCCTCCTGACTCCCAGATCTCCCTTCTTGGGTGCCTCTGGGTTCCCCTCTGGCTAGCACCTTTGTGAGAACAGCAGACAGGAGGGCAGAAGTGGGAGGAAGAGACTGGGGTGGGAGGAGGCATTAGTACTCCTTGCCCTTGTGTTCTCCCACCCCAGCCTAGGGAATGGAGCCCAAACTTCCGGGGAATAGACAGTTCATGGTCCCCAACTCCTTAGAAGTTTTAAAAAGTAAAAAAGTTGCTGCATTTCTTTTCTTCTGGATAAGAAAATTTAACACAATTGTGAATGAAGAGTGCCCTGCCAAACTAATCAGGTAAAATAATGCCTGGGAGCACACACAGGTCAGGTTTTAAAGATTAAGAGCCAGCCTTCTTATCAAAGATCCCAGTTTGGATTGATAGCCTGAGTTGAGAAACCAAGGTAAAAAATGGGATGACTATAGAAAAGAAACCATACGCACACACACAACGCACATGTACGTACATTCAGAAACATCATTTTAAGCCAAAGGCCAGGAAATGGATACCAGATCCACATCTCTGGCTTCCTCATCTGCGTCCAGCAATTTCTTGCCTTCTACAAGTGGACCATGGGGAAGCTGGGGATTGTCTGGTGGCTGCTTAAATGCTACAGAACTCACCATCTTTCTGTCCCTTCTACTCCCTTCCTGGAGTAAAGCCTGTCATTTTCTTAATAACTGTTTTCTTTTGCTCTTTGAGGAAAGCTGCATTTACATTATATGAAGGGCAGAAGTTCAGCCCACACTGCTTGTTATCCCTCCCTTGAACCTGGGGGGAGACCTTCCTGGCTCTCCCATTTTGTGGGTACCCACTGCAAGTCACTAAGCTCTTTGGAAAAGGAGTTTCTACCTCCTCAAAGCCTGAGAAATGTTATAGTGATGTTTTCCAAGCCATACCAAAACGATTAACTGGCAGTTTCTCAACTGTCTTCCCTTTCCTCCTCAGGAATCCGATCATGGGACACAAACCTGATTGAATGCAATTTGGACCAAGAACTGAAACTTTTTGTATCTCGACACTCTGCAAGATTCTCTCCTGAAGTCCCAGGTGAGGCTTTGATTCAGTATTAGTCACCCAGATTTTGAAGGGATGAGGGAACAGGCTGTTGGCTGGAAAGCTTTGCCTAGGACTTGAAGACTTTTTATTGCAACAGGAGTCTCTGAATTTGTTATTATCAACTAGGTTAACCAGAAGACACATTTGAAGGAAGTCAAGAGAGTTATCTCTATGTGAGTTATGTTTTTGTGGCTATTTAAACATTTTAAAATTCTGGGGCAATTTTTTTTTTTGTTTTTGCTATCTCACTGCATTCTGACTTTAAAGAACGTATTAACGTATTAAATGTTAATTTTACTAAAATGAAGTTATGAATATAAATTCGGTGTCCAGAGAACCTCACAACCCTCTTCTTTCCCGAGAAAAGGAAATAGCTACATTTCAATATGAAATATTCATCACCATTTTATTGCATTATCCCTCATTTTTCTTACTGTGGATAAGAGTCTGAAATTCCAAAATGCTGTTAAATAGCTTTTCTTTCAGAGATGAAAAAGAACACTACAGAATAATTAAAGGTAAGGACATGAAAGTTTGACATAAGTGAAGATGCTACTGTTAACCAGTCCCCTGAGCTGGGACCAACTCTGATGGGAGCTTCCAGGCTGGGATGCAGTCAGATTCACCCATCTCATCCTTGTGTGGACCAGTGATCCCTGTTTCTCCCACTTGGTCACACTTGGTGATCATGAGACACTGTTTCCGGCCCATAAAGATTCCAAACCTGGGGTATGTTTCTCAAAAAAAATCTGCTATTGATGCATCATAGACACTGCATTGCTTTTTATTTCTTGAAAGTCATTTAAATTTTATGTAAAATAGAGCTAAGAAAAGCTCTTTTCTGTCTACTTGATTTTATCGTATGATGGCTAATGTTATTGGCATTGCTATAAAATCAGGAGTAGAGTTCAGCCTTTTTGGACTGGCTACATCATATTTATTCCATTAGCTTCATGCACAGAGTTTTGAAACCACTTATAGCGTGCCAGCACCCTCACAGATCATGTTTGCCTGCAAAACAGTATGCCTCTGTTAGAGAGGAGATAGGGCCTGTGTGTCTTGGGGAGCTCTGTGATACTGGGTATTAACTCAGGCAGAGGCTGACTAAGCCACTGTACCATAAGAAGTAGCATTTTCTCCGCTGGAGATGTGAGGCAGGTCACTTACCACACTGATAGTGACTGCCTTTATCTGTGAGAAGAAATCTCTCCTTGGTGCACTCCATTTTTTCCTTGAGTTTGATATTAGAATAAAATCCCATCTGTTTCCATTTTTCATGAATGGCAGCTTTCAAGCACAGAATTGAGCAGTGTACTAAGGAAAAAAATAGCAAGAACTTACCTATTAAAAGTTAAACTTCTGCAAAGTCCGTGAAAAATCAGCTCTAAAATTACTTTGCATTGAAAATGATTCAGCGATTGTTAGGAAGCACCTGATTTGCTGAAGGAAGTGTATTTTGTTGTATTTCTGTGTCTTGTATTATGCCATCCATGACTTTTAAAATCATCTCTCTCACACACACAAAACATGCCTGTCTGAAAATATAAAAATTGAGCTTTTATTGCTTCTCTGCAGGTTGCTGTGACTTTCTTACTATGACTATAAGCGTTTTCTTTTTTGTACATGAATCACATTATTACTGTTGCCTTCTTTCATACTTGATTGACTTTGTAGAATGATGACTATCTCCTGCAAAATGAGAGACTGTAAAAGTTGCTGACAATGAACTGGTTTGGGATAAAAGATCTAGACTACTCTTGTAGACTAGGAAGGCTGGGTCCCCCCAAAACTGCCACTGGAGCCTAATACACCCTTTGCTTCCCCTTGTCCTACTGGCAGGTGTAGTAAGCACTGGTGACTTACTAAACGTATCAGTGCTGACTAGGTCCTGTGCCCAGAAATTGCCTTTGGGCACATAGCAACCCTCCCATGTTTGCCAGTTCCAGAAAAAGTGAATATTATGGCATTATGACTTTCCCCTCTCAAACTTACAAGTTCAGAGTCTAGGACCGGGCCTCCCTTCTGGGGACTGACATCTAGAACGAAGTCTTTAGAGAGATGGGGAGCAATCAGTGTCTAACCGAGAGTGCAGTGGATGATCAAAGTACGTGTCAGATTAAGCTTCAGGTAAGTAAGTGTGTGTTAGAGAGAGGAGGTGCTGTGTAAGAAGCCACCGATGCAAAATTGGGGTGAGAAGCCCTCTTAGGATGATCACTGGATTTGGGCCCAAGGAAACTGCTAGGTTTTCATGAACATATGGGCAGGATTTTAGGGGGAAATTGGAGTCTGTTTTTAAGTAGGTCCAAGTGTAGTTTTCTTTTGTACACACTGAAATTTGCTAACGTGTATAGCAAAGGTCCCCTAAAATGGAGGCAGATGAGCCTTTGCATTTAGAACTTCAAGGTTCTGAGTTAATTTAGAGGCAAGGAACAAGATGAATGATGAGTTCCCTAAAGTAAATAAGTGAACCTATTCATTCAGTTAAAACAAACAAAAAACCCCACTTAATTAGTATATATGGTGGGCCAGGCTCCCCGGGCCAGGGAGTGGGAGCACAGCTACTGTTGGCTTACATGCATCTTCTTGCAAGAGGAGGCTATGCATAGCCATCACTTACAAAGTAGCAGAAACTTTAGCACCTTGGATCAGATCCAGGCAGTTTTTTTTTGCTCTATTTTTTTTTTTTAAGATTTATTTATTTGTGCATACAGAACTGGGGTACAGGCCAGAGGCTCACGGGCGGTAAGAGGCTTCACCAGAGACAGAGTGGGGAACAGAACAGGCAGATCGACGAAGTACACTGCTGAGGGGAGCAGCGGGTGGGTCAGGAGAGGTCTGCCACACCATGTGGTCACCTCCGGGGAAGGCGGGAATCGAACTCATGTGGAAGCGGCTTTAGATTCTCAGTGCTTTAACCCGCTGCGCCACCAGGGAGGGCCTGCTCTGCTATTTTTTTTTTAGATTTATTTTTATTTAGGCATACAGAGCTGGAGTACAGACCAGAGGTGCAGGCGCAGTGAGGGGCTTCACCAGAGACAGAGTGGGGAGCAGAACAGGCAGACTGATAAAGTACACTGCTGAGGAGAGCAGCGGGCCGGTCAGGAGAGGTCTGCCGTGCCATGTGAGTCACCTCCAAGCAGGCGATCGAACTCATGTGGAAGTGGCTTTAGCTTCTTAGTGCTGTGCTTTAACCCACTGCACCACCAGGGAGGGCCTGCTCTGATTTTTTAGTCTAGCAAAGTGTGACAGTAAAATGCTCAGTGCCTTCCCTGATACAACTAGATTGGTGCTAGGATTGCCTTTATATATGTTTTATATTACCACGTTATTGTACCTGTGTTGGTGTTTTATGAATTGGCACTTGGTTTAAGAGACTGGTGATACTCTTCAGTGCAGTAGCGCATCATCAAGGAGGCAGAGCCAGACTGTACTAAGGTTACCCCTGTCCTCATTCTTAAATAGGTTTTTGAGATTCAGCTTGGTGATTTCTGCAGGTCTCATTCAAGTGCACTCTGAAAGGATCAGTCATACTGCACCATTATCCTTGGACCAAGAACCAGAAATAAGAGTGCTTTCTCTGTAAGGTGGGGGGAGAATAGTGTAATATGAATGGTGGGGCTCATATGCAGGTCCCCAGAATGTGAGCCCTGGGATCCTGCACCTCCTCCAATCTGCTGTGCGGCAGCTCTTGGAATGGCTGGTCTTCTAAAACCATCTGATTCTCTTGAACCTGTTGCAGAACTGACTTGCCTAAGATCACTCAGCAGACATCTGCTGTGTGCTGATGATTTTCCTGATGTCAAACCATTCCTGGCCCCACTAAAGTGGTCTTAAGCCAGTGCAGCCCTCTCAAGAGGAAATAGCTGCTTTCACAAGTACTTGCCAGTCATTGAAGTACACGGGTTCAACATGGGAGTCTTTTCAAAAGGATGTGGTGGCCTCATGTTTCCTTATACTGATGAATTCAAATCCTATCATAAAAATTATTTTTATATTTAGTAGCATGTTCTTGTGCCTGAGCATTTGGATGAGAACCATTTCTATAAGTCTTACTATAAGCAGCAGAGCGAGGCTTATTATGTGGTACAGACTCTATTTCTGCTGACTTCCTTACCTCATGTAAGTTTAAATCTATCCATGGAACAATAGCGGATGATATCTCTCTGGGTTTAGGAAAGACCCAGTGATTATTTGTGTTATACATCATTTCAAACTTACAAACAAATATATGAACCACTCTCAGGATAAAGGACATCAGACTGAAAATTAATTTCAATTTTCCTGTTATTTTACCTGCCTACTCAAATAATAATTTTTTTTTTTTGATGACCGAAATTTTCACCACTGTCACAGTATGGTTAATTTCTGAGGATCCTAGAGCCACGCTGCCTGTGTTTTGAGTCTAGCCCTGACAGTTATCTTCTTCTGTAGGATCTTAGGCAAGTTACCTAACTGTCTGTGCTTTAATTTAGCTTACTTTACTAGTTGTTTGTAAAATGAGGATGGTCTCTTGTACCTCACAGAGTTTTCATGAGGAAAATCCAAATGAATGAGTGCTTGCAAAGATCTTCAAACAGTGCTTGTTACATAACCACAAATACAAGCCAGTATTAAAATTGTCTTTCTTTTTCAGAGTCTATTTGACTTGTATATTTGGTGGTTATTAATATCTATGGCTTTGGATACAGGTGGGCTTCCTTTTTTATAATTAAAAAATTTTGTGTTAGAGAAGCTTCTTAGAGAAACAGTTACCGCAACATCATCAGAATATTGATAGCTGCTAGGGCAGCAGCATTCTGTGACTGAGCTCAGGAAAGCCCTTTGGGCATGAAAACAAAAAGGAGACAGTGTGTTGAGGTGCCGGAATCCAGATCCAAAACACAGAGTTGGAAGGCCATTTGCACAATGGTTTTGTTGGGGCCCATGTGAAGAGGCCTTTGTGGGTGAGATTACCTGCTTGCTGTGATCATCCATCGTGGGGTCACATCCAC